GTTTCTCTGTGTAACAGCTCTGGCTGTCCTGGAATTATCGATGTAGACCAGGCTGGCCTTGAACTCACAGAGATATGTCTGCCTCTGCCTCCCTAGTCCTGGGATTAAAGGCGAGTATCACCACCACCCAGCAGTTTGTTGTTGTTTTTTTAAAGTGTTAAACTGGGCTAGAGAGATGGCTCAGTGGTTCAAGTGCTTACCAGGCAAGCATGAGGACCTGTGTAGCACAAATTCTATTCCATCTTAATAATAAGGGGGTTGGACATTAGGGGAAAGGATGAAAGATCAGAGAAGCAATGCAGCCAGCCACTAACGAGCCCTTACCTCTACAAAATCTTCAGATTGACAAGAGTGAGCGCCTGTCTCATCTATTGTCTCTTAGGAGACAATTCTTAAGAGGCCGAAAACACATGGAGACCCCCTCTCTCTGACCATGCTAGCTTGCGGCCTCTGGGCACGCTCTGGCTTGCGTTTGGGCTGGTGTTTATCTGAATAAAGAAATCTTAGCATTATGGCCTACGGATCATCTTTGAGCGCACACAATAAAAATTATTGGAAGAAGTGATGAACTATGGATCTGTGCCATCTTGATTTTAAATGTCTTAACTTTATTCTGTGTTTACTATAGTGTTCCCTCTAAATTCAATCATAATAAATCCTCAGAATACAGAATAGAAATGATAGCAAATAAACCCCATTTAACTGAAAAGCAATCAAAGAGTGAGGCGCAAGCCAAGACTCAGTTCTCCATAAGCCAGCCAGTGTTCCAAAAGCATACATTAAGTAATCTGAAAACTGGGAATCCAAGTATTCATTTGTAGTGTGTCAAACAGAAGACGGAGGCTTACCCTGGAAGTTAATAACTTTTGTTGGAACATTATACACAGCAAAAACAGTGTCTGGCCACTTTCATTCTGTACAAGGAAGTCATTTGCAAAGTACAACATTATATGCCTTTCCATGCAGCTTATTCAAATTCAGTCACTTTCTTGTGACATCACTAATGGAAAGTGATCTAGGAAATGAACGAATACATTAATCCAATGGAAAGTAAGCCAGGTTTGTGTCACGATCCATTTGTGATCACTAAGCAAATCAATGCAGTTTCTGCTGCTGCCAATGCAAAATTTCCCAAAATGACTGCCTTTAAAAAGATAAAGCCTAGAGAAACCTAAGTTTAATTTTGCAACTAAAGAAAGGATGCTTATTGTGAAGACCATTTCACAGAAGGAGGTGGAGGAGGAAGATTTCAGAAAAAAAAAAAAAACATTAAAATGGTATGTATAATCATGAACCTTGGTTATCCACTTGCATAGATCTGGACTCCACTAAGAGACAAGCCTCTGGGTGGTGGAAAGACCCACCTTGAATGTGGACAGTGACTTCCAGTGTTAGCCTAGACATAACAAAAACCAAGGGTGAGGAGTTTTGTTTTCTGCATGCTTGCTTTCATGTGTTGACAAGTTCATCTCTGTTAGCATCTTGCTGCCAGGCTCATCTACTGTGTTGCTGCTGCTGCTCTTCGCTGACATCAGAACTGTCTAGGATAGTTTTGACGCAAGCTAAAGTCACCTGAAAGGAGGGAACCTTAATTAAGAGAATGCCCCTGTTAAGATCAGGTGGTAGGCAAACCTGTAGGGCATTTTCTTAATTAGCAATTGGTGGAGAAGTGCCCAGTCCACTGTGGGTGGGCCATGCCAGGGATGGTGGTCTTGAGTTCTGAAAGAAAGCAAGTTGAACAAGTGAAGAGGAGCAAACCAGCAAGCAACGCCCCTCCATGGTCTCTGCATCATCTCCTGCCTCCAGGTTCCTGCGAATGGGGGAGTGTCCTTCTGTATATACCTTTCTCTTATTGGTTGATGAATAAAATGCTGATTGGCCAGTAGCCAGGCAGAAGTATAGGTGGAGCTATGAGACCAGGAGAATTCTGGTGAGAGGATGCAGAGAGAGGCTGCCAGGAGACACCATGTAACGACTGGGAAGATAGGATGCCAGGCATTCTCCAATAAAGATAAGGCCATGTAGAAATGCATAGATTAATAGTTATGGGTTAATAATTAGGAGAGAGCTAGTTAGTAAAAAAGCCTAAGCCATTGGCCAAACAGTCTGAAATTAATATAAGCCTCTGTGTGTTTATTTGGGTCCAAAAGGCTACAGGATGGGGCAGAACAGTAACTGCGTTTAAGTTTATGTTTAAGTTCCTGTCCTGACCTTCCTTTGATGATAAACAGTAATGTGAAAATGAAAGCCAAAAAAAAAAAAAAAAAAAAAAAACCTTTCCTCCTCAAGTTGCTTTTGCCATGGTGTTTCATCACAGCACTAGCAACCCAAAGACAACTCTGCCTCCCGATGGGCATTCTACCTCTATTGACTACTTTACTAATGACATTGAAAGGACATGAAAGCAGTCTAAGAAACTGCGATGATCAAGAGCAGTCTACTAAGTGTGTGTAAGTATTCTCCCTCCTCCTTATAAAACCACCACAGGGAATTATTGTCAGAATTAACAGCAATAGCATCATACGCCCTTTTTCTTGGGGGTCCACCCTGTCTTTTGGTCAATAGTTTATAAGTTTGAAAAGCAATCAGATTCAGCTGGACAGTGGTGGTGCACGTCTTTAACTCCAGCACTCGAGAGGCAGAAGCAGGTGGATCTCTGTGAGTTCAAAACCAACCTGGTCTACACAGGGAATTCCAGGACAGCCAAGGTTACACAGAGAAATCCTGCCCCCCAAAAACGAAACAAACAAACAAAACAAAACAAAATAAAGGAAATATAATATAATATTTTACTGTCCTGTCCAATACCATCCATGCAATATGAACTTGAGTATTTGACTTGCTAGTTACAGGGATTTTTCCATGATGCCCTGTAGAATAAATAATTTTAAGACAAAAATGTGTTCCCATCTACACTTAAAACCACCCAGCAACACAGATGAGTCTTTGAGAAGTGCTGAAGTGATCCTCAAGGGGATGATGATTGAAGGAAGAGAGCCCTGTGGCCTCCCATTACATCTGCAGCCCCTGGTCCTACGGAGAACCCAGTGATTTCTCAAGTGCCCACTTCAGTCAGTCCCAGCCTCTCATACATTGCAGTGCCTACTCATTTTAACACAATCCACTCCTTGACTGGATTTAGGGGGGAGGGTGGAAGCAGGAGGTCCTTAAACCAGTCTGCCTCTTGGCATCTTTGCCCTTTAATTTATGGGATCCTGGAAGGAATACCAGACGCCCTTCTGGTTTATCAGAAATATAACAACACACATTTAACTTAAGGCACACATGGGAGTCTTTTAATTCCTTGGATAAGCATTCCTGGGTAATTTCATGTATTTAAATTACTACAGAGATAATTTTACACACTTGTTCATTAACAAAAATGGAAACTATGGGGGCTGGAGAGATGGCTCAATGGTTAAGAGCACTGGCTCCTCTTCCAGAGGACCCGGGTTCCATTCCCAGCACCCATATGGCAGCTCGCACCTGTCTGTAACTTTTAATTCCAGGAGATATGACACCTTCACACCAATGCACATAAAATAAAGTTAAAATAAATTACTAAAACAAAGAAATGAATAAAACTATGGTAATGGTTTACAATCCAGACACAGATAAGTTCATCTATTTTGACATCAAAAAAGACAAAAGACAAAACAAACTCTGAGAACACATATTAAAACAATACAATGGTCTAAGATTTCTTTTGTTTATTTTATTGCTTATTTTCTAAAAGCCCACAGAAGTGAGTGAAAATATCCAAGGGGCTATCAAACAATATGAGGCAGAGATTAAGCACTAAATATTAAAAAATAAAACTTTTAGTTTACTTACTAAACTTAGAAGAATTCTCTGGACACGAATCTGTTAAATTGGTCTACAATGCACTAATGAATGGAGGATATGTATTACCTAGTAAATATTTTAAATATGGAGTACACAAGCAAAAAAAAACCTCCCCAGGATATGAAATTTTTCAAGTCACAGCCTCCTGAACAGTCTAATACAAATTTGTTTTGAAGTTAGAAGTGCAAAATTGTTAAGAAATAAAAATATTTCTACTGTTTTCAGTAGTCTACTGATAAATCCTACCAGTTTTTAAAGGTTTTTCAACAAAACAAACTATGAACTCTTGGCAAGCTCTTTCCTTATGACCTCAGGAAACTGGGCACTCTGAACTGCCAGCATAGCTCCACTTTGAAAATCGCCTTCAGACTAATGGAAGACCCAACGGCGACTTCTGTCAACAAGACAGCACCTGCATATCGACAAGTCTGCACCGCATTCTCCCTTTGGACTAGAAATGGGCAACAGGTAAAAAACAAGGTCACCGGGTAACTTTAATGCTGGGGATTAATGTTAGGGTCTAGGATGCTTGTGTCACAAATGAAGATACTTAGCTGCAGGAAGTTCTGCTATCAGGGCTGTGCGTCCACACATTGCTATCGTCTGGTTCACCTATGTTTCTAAATAACCATGCCTGCTGCTCAAAAGGAGGCCCCAAACAGCATGTGAGCTGCTGCAGGTGTTCCCAACTCAAAGACAGGTCACACGAGGCCTAGAATTTTATGAAACTTGGGGCATTTTGTCTAGTATTACGTTTAATAATGATTACTTCAAAACTGATGAAGTAATAAGGGGCTCCGTTACAGCTTTCTCTATTCACCATACTATTTTGTTGATCAGAAAATACCAGGCCTCCACAGGATGAATGACAGTAGCTTATATAACCATCGAGGTGATGAGTTCTTGCAATCTGACCCATTCAGGAAAAACATCTTTAACTTCCTTTCTGGACGCATGGTCACCAGGTGTTTTAATGTAAGCAGAGCCTTCTTAGGCTAAGGTCCTGAGGAAGATGTCTCGTTCTGTAGGATTCAGAATCCTGTTTGAGTGTAGAAAACTGTCTCCTGGCTCACTTGCAACTGCAGGCAGCGGTCCAACTTTGGAAAATTACTGTGGGATGGTGAAAGAATTCCATTCTTCTTCCAGGCGGTCTTTTAGGGACTTGGAAATGGAAGGTAGTGCAGTTTTTTCTGGCCATCTCCCAAGCAAGGGACCCCAGGCTTCTTGGGGTAAGTTCGGCTAGCAATTTTAAAGAACTCTTCGGCAGCATCAAGAGCAATAAGACGGTCCTGCAGTTTAATGAATAAATAAATGAAAAACAAACAAATAAATGAAAAAGAAGCTTACCAAATTGGAAACTGAACTATATGGATGAGAAAATTTAATAAAAATAAAGCCTGCCGTAGAAATAATACCAAGCAAGTAAAACAATCATTAAAAATTTCAAGACTCAAAAAAAAAAAATTAAGACTTGGGGCTGGAGAGATGGCTCAGAGGTTAGGAGCATTGGCTGCTCTTCCAGAGGTCCTGAGTTCAATTCCCAGCATCCACATGGTCGATTACAACCATCTGTAGTGAGATACAGTGCCCTTTTCTGGCATAAAGGCATAAATACAGATAGAGCACTGGTACACATAAAATAAATAAATTAAAAAAAAAAAAAAAAAAAACTTTGGCCAGGTGGTGGTAGTGCACGCCTTAATCCCAGCACTGGGGATGCAGAAGCAGGTGAGTTTGAGGCCAGCCATGTCTACAGAGTTCTAGGACAGCCAGGGCTACACAAAGAAACCCTATCTCGAAAAACAAAACAAAAAAACTCAGAACCTTCTTTTAAAAGGTTGAATTAAAAAAAAAAAAATCAAGGTTCAGAGGCTTATCTTACCCCTTTATTTCATTACCCAAGAGATGTTTCCACCAATAATTTGTGTGTGTGCAAGCGTATGTATGTGTAGGTGTAACGTGTGAATTTGTTCAGGTGGACTGGTGCACACATCACATGCAAAGGTCAGAGGTAAAATTTTCGCATTGTTCCTCAAAAACACCCCATCTTTGTTTTACTATTTTTTTGAAACACGGTCACGGTCTCTCACTGGGAGCTGTGGCACACCCAATTGGGCTAGGATGGCCCGACTGCAAGCCTAAGGCATCCACCTATTTCTGTGTGTCCCAGTCCTGGGATTAACAGCAGTTCCACCATGTTAGGCTTCTAAAGTGGGTACTAGAGATTAAACTGGGCTCTTCATGCTTACACAACAAGAGTATCACCAACCAAACTGTCTTCCCTGTCCTTCCATCAATCTTTCCAGTCTCTGGCTGTATAGATACTTTGGCTCCTTGACCTAATGTTGAAATGGGTTTGTTTGGGTTTTTTTTGTTTGTTTTGTTTTGTTTCCTAATGTTGAAATGTTAACTACACAGCAGAAATCATCTGAAAAGAACTCTGGCCACATTCTGAGCCTTAACAGTTTTAGGTGGGACCCAGAAACCCTGCTTTCTCTTCAAAGCTTTCCAGGTAGCTCTGGAGCCATTGGCCACAGGTGCATACAGTGCCAGGCAGCACCATTTGCCACTCTGTCCTGGTGGAGCCGGTGAGGTTGGGATGCGGGGGGGTGGTGAAAGTAAAGCAAAATAGGGCAGATGAGGTAAGGCATCCACTTACCACGACCAAGAGATACCTCTCGGAGAGCTCCCAGCTGGCTGGGAAGATGGTGGTCTCTTCGGCCAGTTTCAGCAGCATCTCTCGGGCTTTTCTCGTATTTTTAGAATCACTCATGGTGCTGAGTTTGGTCACTGACAGCAAAGAGTCGGCTTCCCTTTGAAAACCTATGGTGGAAACACAGGGCCCTTGTGTGAAGTCATCCTGGGAAGTGCCCATCCCGTGATGCTATTGCTGTGTTTATTAAGAAGGGATCCAAGTGTGAGTTCTCTACAGTGAAAGCCAAAGTCAGAGGCACTACCAAGGGCTGCTCCCCAGCTCTGTGTGAGCGGGACGGACACTCTTTACTCAAAACTGTTTTCCAAGAGCACAGATATCTGAGTTCAAGGCCAGCCTGGTCTACAGAGTGAGTTCCCAGACAACAAGAAACTATTTTCACATTTCTCCTTGCTGGCTTTTCTTCATTATCTCTTCCCTCTATTGAAGGAAGTCATACCGACCCCCAACTGCTCACTGTCCTTGTCAGCTACCCTGTCCTAGAATCCCTACGCCTCTGCCCAGCCTGGGCAGTGGTCACCTCCAGGTTGCTACATCTCCAAGCCCTGATTACTTCCTCATGGCAGTCTGGTCAACTGGAAGAAAATCATTTTCCTAAAGATTAGAAAAGACTCAAAGAAGGAAACCTGCTCGGGCTGACTTAACTGCACACAATACTAACCCACAGCAGTATTGTGTGAGTTTAGGGTACAGAGTGTCCACCTTACCCCGATTCACTATCCCCAACTTAAGACAGCCAGAGCTAGCAACCCAGTACCCCCCACCTGTGAAAAGCTTTAATGTTATTTCAGAGCAGAATGATCAAGGACTTTAAAAGTGATTGTTTATTTTTGAAAACTAAAGCAAGTTTATTCTGTGATATGGGGATATATTTACTCAACCATAGTAGAATTAAGAGAGGCCATTATTCTATGTCTACCTCAATGCCAAGTGTATTTTCCCAACCTTGTAACTTTTCGTCCTTTGGCTCTTTTTAGAGTTTTCTGCTGTGTCTCGATATCTCTTACAAACAATATTTCTTTCAACCTGGCCATATCCATAAAGCTATTACTACTTGCTCAGTCACTACCCATCTAATCCAATCAATAAATAATGACCCAAGAGTAAATAGTGACACCAGTATGATTTCACCACTCTGTGCTATCTCATAGTTGGGGACAGACGAAGTAACATATGGCCAAGTAACACGAGCTGGTGACAACAGAAATATCAAGGTTTATACTTGAGAGTATAAAAAGCAAAACTGAAGACCCAATCAGTAGAAGGCAGTTTAGTAGTCAGTGCTGACAGTCTTTCTACAAAAACCATGGTGGAGAAAGTAAAGAGCAATTTCTTTCGGACTCACCCAAGTCCTCTAAGATTCGCCTCCATCTGTTTCTCACTTCCCTGCGAATCTGCCGCAGACTATAGATATCATAGTTGAGTCTCTGCCACTCCTGTAAAGAGATAAACATTCACTTTTACTTACACCCTCTGGCCTGAAACCTCTACCTCATTTCTGCTGAATGCCATGTTGCTTAAACACGTGGCTCTTCTCTTCACTGATCTTAAACACAATCCTAAAGAAAAGGGGGCATAGATGAGATGGAGTTGACAAGAGAGAATGCCACCGGCTACCACTGCTGAAGAATACGTCCCCTTCGAGGTGACCCAGTTCCTAAATATGTTACTTAGACTCTCTGATTATTGGTTTTCTCCACTGCAGCGATCTTACCTGTATAATGAGGTTACCAATAGTGAAGTTTCCAGGAAAGACTACTGTCAAGATTTAAGGTATAAACTATTAGGACAAAGGTTGTCTCAGCAGGTAAAGTGCTTGCCACACAAGTGTGAGGACCAGAGTTCAGATCCCCAGCACCCAATATCCAGATGGTGTTGGCATCTGTCTATAATTCCAGTACTCAGAGACAGAAATATGGGGGCGGGGGGGGGGGGCCCTGAAGCCAGCTGGACTGAAGCCAGCTGGATAGCTAGGCTAGAAAAATTAGTGAGTTCTGGCTTCAACTGAGATATCCTGTCTCTATGAATAAAGTAAAGAGTGACTGAGGGAGACTGCTGACATCAACACACACACACACACACACACACACACACACACACACACACACACACACATGACAGAGACATATGCAAAAGAAAAAGAAAGACCAATGCCTGCCTACAATGAAGACCTAATAAAATTCATGTATCTGGAGCAATTTATAGATGAAGAAACTAAGGCTCAAATAATTTATATGCTGAATCTAATATATTCCAGGTAACATATTAGAAGTGGTGTTCAAAACTAATTTTTACTCCAAAGTTCATGAAAAAAAAGGTAAAAATCTACATCTCAGTTTGTTATTAAAATGAGATGCAGAACTAGGAACCCCAAGCACCGTTATTCCTAGCTGTGTTTCTCATGCCATATCTTAGCATCATTCACTTGGTAGGGTAGATTGTTCAAGTACAAAGGGAGCCATTAGAAGGTTTCCACTCTGGAAAGTCCTTTACCAGCCATCAGGTGACACGGGCATCACATAGATCCTAACAAAGAAGCTGGATCTTAGGTATTCACGGCCCTAAGCACTCTCTGAAGTTGTCACGGGAATTTGCTCTTAAGGAGACCCATCTGTAAAGAACAATCATTTCACAGTGAACACCTTTTCCTTTCTTACAAAAGACACAACTGTCCTCACTCACAACTTTTGAGAATATCATTTTAAATGTTCCATTTAAGACGCAAGCTGTTTAATATTTTGACTCCTGTAACCGAAAATGTTTCAACGATGCCATTCGTTCCCTACTAAATGCCTTTCAAAACACACTTGCCTTGCAGATTGCCTTTCAACTTTCATGCCTAGTTAAAAAGAGTAAATTTAGCTGCCATTCACATGCTTCAAAAACACCGCGTTGAAAAGGGAAAGCTAACAAAATAAAGTGTGCTTTGCCATGACTGCATTTTAGATTGTATCTGAGGACTTGCCACACCATGAGGAGGGAGTGGGCTTTCTGCTACCCTCTTTAAGTCAGAAAATTGTGGATTTCCTACTGCTTTAAAAAAAATTAAACATAAGAATAGTAAGAGCCAAAGGCATGTGCACAAGTGTGTGATGCCTAGGGTCAAAGACAAGGCCTGTGACCTTTGAAGTGAGTGAGGCTAACTACATATAGTCTAGAAACTACATATGTAGACTACATATGTAGACGACATGGTCTAGAAACTACATATAGTCTGGAAACTACATATAGGCTAGAGGGATGGCTCAGCCATTAGGAAACCAGCTGCTCTTCCAGAGGACCCAGGTTTGAAGTACAGCACCACATGGTAGCTCACAACCATCTGCAACTCCAGTTCCAAGGGACTCTGATGAATGTACATAACGTACACCATACTGCAGACAAAGCACGCATACACCAAAAATAATTGTTTAATTTTTTAAAATAAACAAAATGCAACCCTGGCCTCTTAGCATCACCTTAAAGCATATCTAGCCAAGGCCCACCCCCACACACACTGGATAAATTGCAAAGGAAAAACTTATTTGGTGGAGTACTTACAATACTTAAGTGACCACTCAGTACAACACACCCAGGTGAGCCAGACTGTCCGTCTAAGTTTGGGTTCAGCCCCATTGACAACCTGTCTCACTGCCTAAGCCTCATCTATAATAGGGCTGAAATACTGCCTACACCATAACAGCTTACTGTGAGGATCGGTTGAGCCTATGGCCTTCCAACACAAGTCAGCACACTTCCTCCTCCAAGTCAGTGTAGATATAGTTCAGAAACAATGCAGAGATGGCTCAGCAGCTGAGCTCGCTCACTGCGCTTGCACAGGACCTGAGTTTGGTTCCAATGCTGATGTCAGAAGGCTCACAATTCCCTGTAACTCCAGTTCTAGGAGAGTCTGGTGCCTCTGCCTCCATGGGTACCTGCACATATGTACACACACCCACAGATATACACTCATAACTAAAAACAATAAAAAATAAACCTTTTAAAAAGAAATAATCCCAAACCTTCAGAAATATTTCTGCCATGCACTATATGGCTGGAAAACATTATACACTATACTGTGCATTAGCCCACTTGTGGTTCACAGCCAGAAGCAAGTTTTCTATGCTCTTAGCATCAAATGGCAATTCATTTTTCCCAAAGATTGTTTTATGACTGGTCAGTTTTCACTTTCCTCTGAAATTTCAGTGACTTCTTGTGAAAAATACATAGACCCAAGTTCAGTTTCCTGCACCCAGGCTGGTGTGTGTGTGCGCGCGCGCACACGTGCACACATGTGTGTGATTTAAAACTTTTAAAATAAATCTTTAAAAGGCTATGAATAAACTATTAGCACCATACAGTGTTTCCTCTCTACCAAAACTGATGCTATTTTCTGGATGCAAAGTGATCAGAACTTTACTCACTCTTGATTAGGAGCCCACGTAACCACGAGCTGCTTCACAAGGACCCAGAACCTTAACTAATGCAACAAACCACTAGGTGGCTTCATTAACTTGTGACTGAAGGTCTACTAATTTGTCTCAGTCTGGTGCTGATGCCCCGACATGATTCTTTCCATGCATAGGCAAAAGCTTTATTTTTCAGAGTTAAAGTTACGAAAATTGCATGGATCTGTATAAAATTCAGTGTTGATAGGAAAATAACTGGATCATCCAGGTGCCAGACATCCTTCTCATACTGTCCATTGTTTGTTATTTTACAATTCTCCCGCCCCCCAGTGGAAATACTACTACAATTCACAAGAGGCTGTGATTGGTCCTAAACACAAGGTTTAATGACTGTGATTGACCCAAAATGAACATCTGTGATTGGGAGGTGAACAGTTGCTGGCAACATCACAGCCAAACTGGTGCCTATCTCAGGCAGCAGCACCTGCCGGGGCTGGCTTGATTCCAGCTTGACAGGTAAAGATCCTACATCATCCAGTGTCAAGCAGGGACTTGGTACCACCTAGATCCAAGTGCCAGGACTATCCCAGGCCACAGTGGCCTGCAGAAGCAGGAGTGGGGCAGAGCTTAGTGCGGCTGCCTGCGAAGCGTGGAAAGCAGTGTGTCCAGGCCTGAACCCTGCTGATTCCAACAGACAGCTTAACCTGTCCTAGGATTCCATCCTCAGGGACAAGGGATGCTGTGCTCCAATGACCCCAGGTACCCAAGATCAGTCCACATGGTGCCCCCCACTCCTGTTTATTGCAATGGGTACTCGAGTGCCGGCAGTGGCTACTGACTACTGAAGAAGCATCTGAAGAGAAAAGTTCCAGTTCCAAAGTAGTCAGGACAGAATGAAGGCAAGAGGAAGAAGAGAGTCAATACAAGACAGCCAAAAAGGTCTGAGGAGATGGCTCGGTGGTTAAGAGCACTTGCTGTTCTTGCAGAGCATCTGGGTTTGGTTCTCAAAACCCATACGGCAGCTAGCATCTGAAACTCCAATTCCAGAGGATCTGATGCCCTCTTCTGGCCTTTGAGGGCACTGCACACATGTGGTACACATATATACAGGCAAAATACCCATACACGTAAAAATAAATAAATAAATCTTGATATGCAGAGGGAGGGTATTAAAAAAAAAAAAAGACTAGAAGAGTCAGAGATGACAACTGGTAGGCCCTGAAACAACAGTTTCAGAGAGCTGGCATGTTTTCAGAGCCAAGAGTCTCAATCCCCAATCTGAGCAGTAGCCAAGCGTCAAAAGTCTGATACCTAGGACCTGAACCAAGACAGTCGCATTAGAGGATATCACCTGTGCTTCCTCTGCCTGCCTACAACTCTTCCTACTGCTGCCAAACCCTTCAAAGATAAAGGCCACTAGGGACTAACTTCTTATCTACTCACTATCTACTCATGAGCAAAAGGACCCTCACCAGATAAATGGTGACATGCCCTAGGGTCCCAGCCTCCCCTACTGTAAATAACCTGCATATAAGATTAATAGGATCAAGCTGAATAGATGGCTCACAACCATCTATAATGAGATCTAGTGCCTTCTTCTGGTGTGCAGGCATACATGCAGGCAGAACACTGTATACATAACAAATTTTTTTTAAAGATTAATGGGATAAAACTTTCACACAGCCATTCATGCACACATAAGATTATCTTTTTTAACATAATAATACCTGAAAGTTTTGTGCAAAAAAAAAAAAAAACACTCTAAAACCAGTAGAAGCTGGGTTTAACTTAACTGACATTTGGATTTACTAAAATGAGTGGAAAGGAGAGACAGAATTCCCTTAAATACAGGACTCAAATAACAGAGCAAAAAGTGGGCAAAGTGAGGAAGAATGGCATACAAAACCCCCGATGACTTCTCTTCATAACTGAAAAGATCTATTCCTTCATGTTGGAAACAAGAAGGTTTTTGATGTACTTCTGCAGCTTAAATTTTAACGACTTTTTAAGCTTCAAACAACTCGAAAATAACAATTCAAGATCAACTA